CAAGGATTTGTGCCAATGAATACTGGGTAGAGCTCAGTGAGAGCATTCAGCTCGCAGCCCAAGTGGGCAACATAAGAGGGATGTACGAAGGAATCAACAAGGCTCTCGGACCCTCCCAAAACAAGACAGCACCTCTGAAATCAACCACTGGACAAATTATCACAGACAAGTGCCAACAAATGCACAGATGGGTGGAACATTACTTCGAGCTCTACGCCACAACAAGCTCAGTCTCTGACTCAGCCCTTAAAGCCATCATACAACTACCCACAATGAACGAGCTAGATGAAACACCCACCCTTTCAGAGCTCAATAAAGCCATAGACAACATTGCTGCCCGCAAAGCACCCGGATGCGATGGTATCCCCCCAGATCTTCTAAAACAATGCAAAACTACTCTAATCCAACCTCTACACGAACTGCTTTGTAAATGTTGGCAAGAAGGTGCTGTGCCACAAGACCTGCGGGATGCTAAAATCATTACACTGTATAAGAACAAAGGTGACAGAAGCGACTGCAACAATTACAGGGGAATCTCCCTCTTAAGTATTGTAGGCAAAGTCTTTGCTCGAGTGATACTTCCCAGGCTACAAAAACTCGCTGATCGGGTCTACCGAGAATCACATTGCGGCTTCCGCTCAGGGAGATCCACGATTGACATGATTTTCTCCATCCGCTAACTCCATGAAAAGTGCAGAGAACAAAGGATGCCTTTATACATTGCGTTTATAGACCTGACAACGGCCTTCGATCTAGTTAGCAGAGATGGCCTTTTTAAAATTTTACAGTTAATAGGCTGCCCACCCAAGCTACTAAATGTAATCATATCTTTCCACCAAAATATGATGGGAACAGTGTAATTCAACGGTGCCAGCTCTGAAAGTTTCAGTATAAACAGCGGAGTTAAACAAGGATGTGTCCTGGCCCCAACCCTCTTTGGAATACTATTTTCACTGCTAATTCACAACGCGTTTGACAAATCCACTGAAGGCATCTATCTCCATTCCAGATTTGATGGCAAACTCCTAAATATTGCCAGACTGAGGGCCAAAACTAAAATCAGAGCCACCCTCGTAAGAGATATGCTATTCGCGGATGACGCAGTGGTAGTGTCACACACACAAGAGGAACTTCAGTCACTAATGTCCCACTTCTCTCAGGCCTGTAAAGAATATGGCTTGACTATTAGCACGAAGAAAACAAATGTTATGGGACCACCTACTACAGCACCACCCTCCATCCTCATTGACGATAACAAGCTGGACGCCGTAAACGAATTCCGCTATCTGGGATCCACAATTACAGATGACCTGTCCCTAGAAGAGGAGATGAAAAAACGCATAGGGAAGGCTGCCTCGACATTCGCTAGACTCAGACTAAGAGTTTGGGAAAACCATAAGCTAACCACGGTGACCAAAATAGAAGTCTACAAGGCATGCGTTATGAGTACACTGCTATATGGCAGTGAATCATGGACCACCTACGCAAAGCAAGAGAGAAAACTAAACTCATTCCATTTGAGATGTCTCCGTAGGATCTTGAATGTCACATGGAAAGAAAAAGTGTGCGATACTGAGATCCTTGCGCTATCAGGTATTCCCAGCATTTTTACAGCCCTCAGACAACGCCGTTTGCGCTGGCTTGGACATGTTCGCCGGATGGAGGACAAGCGCATCCCGAAAGCCATCCTCTATGGTCAACTCGCGACTGGCACAAGAAAAACTGGTCGCCCCCACCTCCGTTACATAGATGTAATAAAACGTGACCTCAAATCAGTGAACATCAATACTGACAATTGGGAAGACATAGCTCTAGACCGCAACAGGTGGAGAGAGACAGTGACAAAGAAAGCTATGGACAGTGAAAGTACATGGGTCTCAGCCCAGGAAGAAAAACGCACAAACCGAAAAACGGCCAGCTCCTCTACCACCGAAGCAAAAGCCAAGGGGACCCTAACTTGCGCTATTTGTGGACGGGAGTGTCTCTCCAAAATAGGGCTCCACAGCCACATGAGGAAGTGTGCTCTGAGATGAACCATAGTCGTCCTACGACTGAAGGAGGCCAATGATGATTTACTTATCACAATTTGAGAATAACATAGTATAAGTAAACATGCACAGTAATGTAAACAAGCCTATTGTAAACATCAGTGAACTACTTAAACTGTTGACCTAAATTTTTTTTTTCTTTTTTGAAAAATAACTCACTAATATAAATATTGTTGATTTTTTTTCCAAGTGGTACACACTTGAATGCTATCATTTTTTATGCTATTGTACTTTAACTACCACATATTTGTGCTATTAATAACAATCACAGACAATGTCACTGTAACCTTGTATAATGGGGAAAGAACTTAGAGTGATATAATGAATACTGAACATAAATATACTTATATAGATGTATGTAAACTTTATTGGGAACTACTTCAATAAATGCACTTAGTGTGTCAGATGATACACATTGGGTGTGTTATATTATATAAATAATTGGATGTAAAATAACTTTAATTTTTTTCTTCTCATAATTGAGATGTCAATGTATGTTAACAGAATGAGCACATAGCAATTAAACATGCTCATGCAAAATATTTCAGTATAATTGTAAATAGATGATCTATTATTATTAAACTATATTTCAGAAGACTAAATCTTCAAAGTGTATTGATATTTTTTCAATAACATACTTGTATAGTAGCTGTAAACAAACTAATGTATATTTTTCTAAGCAAACACTGAGAGTTGAACAATACATTTGTCAGTTAGTATGTAGAACCATTCATAGTTAAACTGAATGACATGACATCAATACTTATGTATAATTGAGCAATCAGTATTGAAGTGATTAATTAGATCAGCTTAACATGAGTGATTAAGCTGCTAGACATATGTAAAAGATACTATCAGATGTACTTTTGTCAAAGATTTTTTGTCAAAAATCTTTTCCAGGGGAAGGGGCGTATGTCATATATCAGTTTTAGAACCCCTGTAATATGTGGTGACTAGTAGTCACTGAACTATTCCGTGCAGTTAGCACGAGATTTTTCCTGGTCGGGAACTGCCCACGAGGTGGACACCTCAGTTGATCTTGGGCTCTCGTAGAGAGAGGAATATTATGGATATCTTGTCCAGTGTAGTAATATATAGTTATTAAGGTTGATTTTTGAAGCATGTGTATCTAAAGTATTCCATTGGATTCTAATGTACTATGTTTTGTGTGTATTTCTTGATGGCTGGACTTGCCAATATCTTTTGTGAATTATATTTTATGTGAATAAAATCCATGTCTGCTGACCTAGAGTCTATTAATAATTCTAAATGTTGTGGTCGTAGCATTCAGTATGTTAATGTTCTCACGCACCTGCAAATATAGTGCGTGTGAGAAAGTATTTAGTTAGTATGGCAAAGAATATTATTGTAGTACCAGAAGAGGTATCTACAACACACACACTGACATTCGCGTCATCACGCCCACAACAAAAACCAGACTGTGACATAGACACTTCAAGCTAAAGCAATTTTTCTCCACTATCCAAAGTATGAACAGCCGTAGATAGTTGCGTTGTATGACAAACAAGATGTTTCCAAAAAGATTATCGTTTTTTAGAAGAACATCACCACGATTATGCTTAATACTGTGATACCAACAGATCATTTGGCTGTAATTAACCTTATTAAAATAAGATCAACCTTTGTCTCTTAATTAATCAATAACTATATATTTTAATTAAATCTAACATGGCTTTATAATTATAATAACTACAATAAAAATACACACGTCGCGCGCCTCAGGAGTGGGGTTACTCTAGTTTTTTTTTTATTCATTCCAACAAATTAATTACTTTCAAAACATTCTCTTGCTTCATCGGATTGCCAACAACTGACCTATTTATCGCTTCCCCCCCTCTGTTATAGATTTAAGTGTTAGGATTAATTTTTTAAAATTTACAAATCAAACAAGAAAAAAACAACTTAAAACTTAAATGTTATTTAACCTTGGTTAGGTCAATATTAAAATATGCATCTTGTGTTTGGGACCCCTCAACTCGAGAAAACTTTAAGAAACTGGAACAGATGCAGAATAGAGCAGTGATAGTTATAAATAACGAATATTCACATTTGATTAGAATAACCCCTTTAGTAAAACCACTAAATTACTAAATTTAGAGACCCTTCAGAATAGATGACTAAAAAGAGAGCATAAAATGGGTTGCCTGAATCAGCCAGGAAAAGCAAAGACTTGGCAGAGTTGGCGATTTGCCAGGGGTCGCCAAAGACCATTGAAAAGATGGATTGTTATTGTCTATTCTTCTATTGCTGTGTGTGTGTGCGGGGGGGGGGGTCGGGGCTAAGTGGGGGATTGTAAAAAGGGGTCGCCGAGCATAAAAGGTTGAGAACCGCTGCATTAGAATAATCACACGATACTTCTCAAGAAGTTGTAAGCTTAATACGAGCGAGGAATTTAATTTGAGTAATAAAATTAACTATGTAAAATATCAGTGATAATTGAATACAGTGCTAGTTAACGATAATATTAGCAGATTGACCATAACCAGCTTAGCTGACTTAATATTGCATGAAGTGTTCTAGGCCCTAAAATGTTTAATGTTCCTTTATTTAATATTACAAATTTACCAGAATATTTTTTTTTTTAAATTCATGGAATACGTTTAGATTTTTAATTTCCATATCAGATAATACTCCACGGAGTACTATACTATATAGAGTTAGCAACACACAAATAATGTCATGTATTATACGTTTGGACTGTTGTAAGTGTTACTTGCTTCTATGCCGTCCTACACAATGTTGGACTAGGTGCAAAACTTGTAAAACAAAAACAAACAAAACAAATACATACAAAATAACTTCAATTGAGAAAAATGTAAAAATGCTATAAATTTTAAATTTTTTATTGTATAAAAATAAATTTTGTGAAGTATAAAAGTGCCTTAATGGGCAAGATACTTTACTGAATCTCTGCATTAAAATTCAAGTCAAAATAACAGTGATATATTTATAGGATTAGATTATTCAAATAGAAAATATAACTGATTTCTAAAACACATTTAAATGTGCTTAATAAAATATGTAGAATTACGCTTTGCCAAATACAGCATTATAAACGTCAACATTCATTCCTTAATTTGCTAACAATTTTTCCAATTAATCTCACAAAATATCATGCATTGAAACAAAAAATACCAAAAAGAAAAACTAAAAATATGCAAACTTTTTTTTACAATCTAAAGAAAAGCGAATACAACGCTACTGTATAAGACAGAAAAATGGATATATGTAGGAAAATCTTTTCAATATTATACTTATAAATATGAATGATTAGTTGCTTAATTTGTACGTCGTCTTCTAAGTCTAGATCTAAAGGCCTATCATTGGAATATTAAAAAGTCTAGTAGATCTATACTTTTGCTTAACGAGCATTCTTTCTCTGGGGAAAAAAGAGGGGGGGGGGAATGGTGCGGGGTAAAAAATGCTACAATAATTTTAACTCTAACATTCATGGGCTATTAAGAGAAAAACAATGGCTCTGTAAGTTTTATAAACGAATTATGGTCTTTTTTTTAGAAGAGTATTTGTAAATGTTTTTATTGTATTTCAAAATTTCAATGTTCTATTTTATAGCACACAAATGTCAAAGTTTGAAAAGTTTCATAAATCTGCTATAGATATCACGAAATTAAACATTTTCCAGGAACATTCGGAACGTTTCTTTCCTCGGTATCTAGTTTATCCAAATACTTTTTCAATCTGCCAGTACCTTGATCTTTCATTTTAATTTTGTTCCTCAATACAGCTATATCTTGCATTATTTTCTCTCTGCTGGCTTGCGTTAGAGTAACCGTGGCCTGACTCATTATCTTCTTGATATCTTCTTTGTAACTTCGTGTAAGGTTTGTTTTTTCAATCTCGAGATCGAGTAGGAATTTCAGTCTGTCCTTTTCATATTGATCAAAATCTAGCTTACTGTAAGTTTTATCAAAAGAGTTATGCAGACCTATTATTGCTGTTCTTAAATTTTCTGTTGTTTTTTTGTTGTTTTCGTGTGATAATTTATTGCACATTAAAACTACTCTTTTCTGACACTTAAATATTAGTGAAGCAAAGTCTTTTTCTTGATTGTCAAGCCATTCATTGAAATCACCTTCAAGTAAATCGCCTCTAGTAACGACTATGATACAGCGCTTGTAGAATTCTTGTTTTCCAAAAGTGCACTCAAGAAGGGAAACACATTTCTGATCTTCTTGTGAAAATTTTGTTGTGAAGTTATAAACTAGAAGAAAAACGGATATATCATCACAATTTTTGATAAGTTTGTCCATATTTTCCATCGTTTCCTTGATGCTTTCAAATTCTTCAGGTTTTGCATCCATTAGTCCTTGGGTATCGTATATGATAAATGTATAACCATTGACGTCAGATTCAGAGTGTTTATTAAAAGCAATTGTTTCCGACATTGTGTAATTACTTTCATCGAAGTGAGATTTCTCAGATAGACTGTTGCCGGTTGAACTCTTTCCTGCACCAACTTTACCCAGCAAAACTATTTTAATTTTTGGTTGCGTTGTTTTCTTTGCTTAAAAAAAAACAACAAAAAAATTCTTAATGTAAAGAAAAGGTGAATATGCAAGATATGATTTCCAGCATTATTAGCTATATACTTTGTAATTTATATTTTTTTCTGCCAAATCAGATACATTTCAATTCATTTCATAGTGACTGTTTTATTTTTCTAGAAATAGTAGATAGTCAGAATGCTCGATACTTTGTATATATATATCTTTAATTCAATAATATTAAATTTTTTTGTATTGAAATAAAATTATACAGTTGGCATAGCTTAAACCAAGAAAAAAAAGCTCAGTATTACATTATATATTTTTCTACACCATGATTTATAATTATAATTAAAATTAAACAAAAACTTTGTTTATAACACTGTAATATATCAGTTTTAGAACCCCTGTAATATGTGGTGACTAGTAGTCACTGAACTATTCCGTGCAGTTAGCACGAGATTTTACCTGGTCGGGGACTGACCACGAGGTGGACACCTCAGTTGATCTTGGGCTCTCGTAGAGAGAGGAATATTATGGATATCTTGTCCAGTGTAGTAATATATAGATATTAAGGTTGATTTTTGGAGCATGTGTGATATCTAAAGTATTCCATTGGATTCTAATGTACTATGTTTTGTGTATATTTCTTGATGGCTGGACTTGCCAATATCTTTTGTGAATTATATTTTATGTGAATAAAATCCATGTCTGCTGACCTAGAGTAAAGTGCGAAGTTCGAGCAGCCCCGATTTGTCAAGAGGTTCAAACAGTTCACTTTTTATTGCTAAAACTTTTTTATTTGACTGTTTACCAAATTACTACTATATTGCTACTGCGCCTGCACCTTTTTTCTTTACTTCCGACACATACTATTTCCTTTTCCTTGTAAAGGCTAAGTTCATGGTGAGGTCAAACTTAGGAGGTGTGGAATTATTCTTTTTTACTACCCGGTAGTGAAGGAAATGGGTATTGGGCTTAAGGCTATTTTTAAGCCTGATTGCTCATCAGCTTAAAGAGACTATTTGAAGTTGTGGAGGGTGGTGGGAAATGGTGCAATGGATGGTGTTCTTGCGCTGGAGTAAAAAGAAAATGACTTTATAGTGAAAATTAAATATTAAAACGTGTTTTTAGATCTATTTTCTTTGATCTGTTCGAACCTTCCATCAACCCGATCGAGCTTACTAACTGGGGAAAAATCCGCTCGAGGAAAAGTACGCTTGGCAAAACTTACCCTACATCTCTTTGACTTCGTATTTAATTTTAACTAAGCCTAGTTATACATTAAATCCAAACTAGTTTTATAGAAGAAAGGACGAGGAATTCAGAGATACTATCATTTTTTTCATAGGTCAGACCGTTACGGTGCTATAAAAATCCAAATTTGAAAATTGCTGCCAGCGGGCTTAATGAGATCGAACTTTGCACTTTACTCTAGAGTCTATTAATAATTCTAAATGTTGTGGTCGTAGCATTCAGTATGTTAATGTACTTTCGCACCAGCAAATCTAGTGCGTGTGAGAAAGTATTTGGTTAAGAAAACAAAGAATATTATAGTAGTACCAGTACAACACGCAGAGACATTCGCGTCATCACGCCTACAACCAGAACTAGGCTGTGACAAACACACATTTAAATAACTTCAAAGTTTACTTAAAATACATGTTTAAACATTTCTCTATATTGCTTTTTTTTGGGTCATGAAACATTAATCTCTCGTAATCAATCTTATATTTTCTTTTTTTAACCTAAATATTTCTAATCTAAAAAATTCTTTATCAGCGTTTATAATAGAAGCCAGTTTTTTTTCTTCCATGATTTTAAGCCTGATTGCTCATCAGCTTAAAGAGCTTAAAGCTTATTTAAAAAAAAAATTCTAACTTTTTTCACTTCTTCAATTGCTGATAAAATAATCTCATTTTATACATTATGCGATGTATAAAAATTCTTTTAATTTCTTTAATTCTTTACTTTATTACCGACATTCGCCATGGTCATTTATATATTTCCTACGGAAGAAATCATTTATTTAAAAAAGACAATCTCTGAAATAATTGTTCGCCATTCCAAAAATTTGGTGGCCTGCGTGCAATGAAAGCATAATAGTTCGCAACGGTCCTGTATAAACCTTACATTTAGACATTGTTTTTAAATGAATGGTTTTCATAATTTTATAATTTTTTGGCTTAGTAAAGAAAAAGAAAATTAATAAATTGTTTATAAAAAAACAACAACACATCATGTGCATTAGTAATGAAAATAAAAGTACCTGATGCCATTGTAGTTCTTGTAAGTGGTTGATCTCTATATTGCCTTCAACTAGTATAATAACAAAAATAAAAATGAATACGTTTGTATGAAAAAGTAATAGAAATTATGTATAAATGAATGTATTTGCGTATGTATATATTCAAGCAGGCATGATTGTAATTCTATGCATGCATTGACATATAGACCTCTTTCTTATATACGTATGCAACCATGCATGCAAGAAGATAGTACTACATGATTAAATTAATAGATAAATATAATGAATAAAACATAACTTACGATTTATTTTACAACAGTATGATCGCATGGCTGTTTATTCGAAGTAAAATTATTTATAGAGGACACATACTCCAAATCAGAATACTACAAGCATTTTCTGGAAAAATTAAACATATTCTTTTTTAGAAAATCCACTCCAATAATTTCTAAGAAAATTTTATTACATAGAAAAAGTATTGTTTCTTGGAAATAGAGACAAATAAGTCTCACTCTCTCTTATTTTGAAATAACTCTCACGGACGCCGGACATTTTATTGCCATTCTGCATTTGCAAACGCACGAACAGTTTGTAAGTATATTGTACTTACTTCTTTGCTCTGTAATGATAACAAAATAAAAATAACATATTGATGTATATTCAAATAATGTTAAATTGGTTTATTAAAATAAAAATAGGATCATTGTAGATATAATTATGCCCCAGACTTAGCTCCTTTAAATACATTTTAAGATCAATAAAATGCGAAAAATTCACAAACTTAGGTTCTCTTATCCTATAAAAAACAGACGTTAATTCATAAAAGAAGATGAATCACATCTTACGCGCATCCCTAAGTCAGTCTAGTCATGCATGTTAATCAATGACTTTATTCTTGTCCAGTCATCATTGTTTTTTCCTACTGGCTAAGGCAACCCCTTCCATACTCTAATAGCAATAGAGAAAAGGGAGTATTTGTACAGATTTGTCCTAGCATATGGAACAAACAAGGAATGTTCTTTGTGTCTTTCTGAGTATTCTAAGATTTAGAAGATAGTGATTATGTAAGCCCGACTTAAAGGTGACAAACTCAGAAAATTAGGGAAAATGTTTTGATCTAATCAAAAACATCAAGATATATAAAACTAAACGCAAAATAAAAATTAAAAAATAAAAAAAAAAATAAGCTAACTAATTTGTTTCCCTTTCATTTAGCTTTTTCTGACGACTTCTGAGGTGAAATCAAAATGTCTGGTATGTGTGTATAATTTTAATTACCTATTTCATATATATTAAACTAATATATATATATATATATATATATATATATATATATATATATATATATATATATATATATATATATACCGTGGCGTAGCTATGGTAGCGGAGGAGGGTGGAGAATTTGAAGATCCCCCAGGGGCCCCACTTGAGGGATCCCCCCAAATGAGTGTCCAAAATTTGTTTTTAAATAAATTAAATATTACGTTACTGTCATGGAATCTTGCTTTTCACGTTGTTCTATACGTTAGTGACCCTGTTGGATGTATTCCACAAGAGTATTAACACTTTCGTGCAAGGTTACTCTCATTTTCAAAGAGGTAACTTCTATAGCGCTGACTAGTGCCGTGTCACTCTCAGGAAATAACTTGGTATATAGGGTAGTTTATTTCATGAAGAGACTCCAGGGGAATACCTTTTACCACAGACAGAGAAAACATCGGAAGTAAGTGATGATGACTCAAGTGATGGTCTTCCAAAATCACTTTCTCCAGAAGTTTAATTAAGTACAAAGACTTTGGATATATCCAGCCTGGAATTTTATGTCAGGAACTGCGAGCTAAAATTGTGTCAAAGGATAGTTTAATTTTACAAAACAAAGATGAACGGTATTTGTTTCCAGTAGAGTTGACCCAAAATAAATCACGAAGTTTGACATCATGGTTCACTAGAAAGCTTCCAACAGGAGAAATGTACAACCAATTTCGGCTCCTCTTCTCTCCACACTTGGGATGTCTATTTTGTTTTGCATGTGT